ACTAAGTGGAGATAGGTGACATGATCTATGCAGGATTTAAGAAAGAATAAACAGCAAAATTGAGCAGAATGCCTGGGGTTCACTGGAAGTGGGATTCCTGCGAGCTGGTGGGATGGGAGAGTCTCTAGATGAAGTGTGGCATCTTGGGTGCCCACAAGTTGGCATCTCAGCTGGAGCAGAGGAATCACAGTCTAAAATGACAAACTGCTTCTCCTTGTTGACTGTAAAAAAAGATCCTAAACTGACCTGCTCAAATGTGAACATTTGCATTTTAGATAAGAGAAGCTGATGTGATAAATTCTTCAATCTTCCAAACATTTTGGATAAATCAGAGGTTGTCTCTGTTCACAAGGATCTGTTAGATCTGTTTTCTTTATGAGTTAACAGTAGTGTTTCTGTTGACTCTCTGGGATGCTGGATCGTGCTATGATGCAGCACCTTCTGGCATTAAAGCGATAAGTGAAGTGTAAATCTTCCAGTAGATGGACACGATACGGCATCTCCCCTTGCTCTTCCTCCCTCTTCCTATTGTAAGCTCTCTCTCAGTTGGTGCTGTAGGGCGGAAAACATAACAAGGATCTCTTGCCATCGGCGTCACTCTGAGTGGGGACAAATGAACTTAGGTTTTGGAGTTGCAGGGCGTGAACAGCTCCTGTTTGTCCTGCACAGAGTTGCGTTACTCTTCAAGAAAATGTAATGTCTCATTGGTTTTAAACTGCTGGCCATTTAACATGGAAACTGCTGACTCTTCAAGGACTACTGAAATTCATAACCTGGCACTATTAGTTAACTATCTTCTGCAGTAGAAGCTACGATTTAAGTAGGACATAGTTGATGAGAGAATTACGAGGTTTCTTTTCTGTATTTGTACTGAAGGCTTACTGCAGCTTATCGGGAAACGGTGCTAGACCCCCTGCATATCTTGCAGGACTGCGCATAAGGACAGGACTCTGCAAGGACTCTCCAAGAGCATACCCTGCAGATAACATGCTCTGCAGGATGGCGCTGGGCTGTGCCAAGCAGCAGAACTCTCCTTCACTTTTGTTGCGTTCTCTTTATTTAGCAATTTCCATCCCTAAGGATTATGAAGAGCCTTTCTCACATCTGTCTCCTGTCCGAAAGTACTGCTTGGAGGAGTGACACAGGTTATGAACTGAAAATGCTTTAGATAAAGGCAGGACTGAGTTGTACTTGATAGATTTTGGATTCTTTGACATTAACAGCAAGTTGCCCGTGAGAGGCTTATATATATTTGTATTTTTTTCACTCGCTATGGGAATTCACTGCCTGTGCAGCTTTTGAACAGGAGATGAAGGGATCAATGTGTTGCACAATTATTAGAGCTAAAATTTGGTTAGGATACCTGGAGAAGGGTGCATGGAGTTTGTTTTTTGCTTCTGGGGATTTTTTTTTGTAATCTTGCTTTCAAAGGAGCTTTTGCTGTTTCAGCTTGCCGTTTGTTTGAGGAATCAATTGGAATAAAGCAGCTGAGTTAGCAGTGGTTCCAGACAGATGTTTTTCCCCAGCTGAGCTTGTAAGGTACAGGCTGCTGACAGCTATATGTGTGCAAATATTGTTGAAGCCTATGTCAGATGGCCGTAGGCAATCGAAACCAGCATTTGGGAAGGTGGTCCTTGGGGGTTATGGCAGGCAATGACAGAAAGCAGGTGTTCTTCTGAAACCCTGTTGTTTACCTGTCTTGGCTGTTAGTGATTCGCCAAGGGGTGTGTGTGCGCGCACGCACGCACATTCTCCTTTTGGATCCATACATACCAACACAGCACAAATCCATTACCCTCCACAATGAAAACTTTAGGATTTTCACTTAAGTTTACCTGGAGGGAAATTAAGAGATTTACTATCTACCACGTTCTGGCACAGAACAGCTTTTTCTCTCTGATCTGTAAGTAGTTCAAAAGAGAGAAAAAAGTTTCAGGGTAAGAAGAATAGTTGAATAAAGTCACAGTGGTGACCTTGGATAGTCTTACTCTTCTGCATACATTTGTGCCAAAAGGTAAATCCATTTTGGTGACTCTTGGGTAGAAACTATCCCTGGCAGGATTTAGTTTATTTAGGTACAAAGCATATAGTTGTTCTCAGTGTTGTGGCTTCTGAGCTACCTGCTGTACTGGAGAACAGAGCTCCGTGCACGTTAATTTATCTCCTCCCAACAAAGAAATCCCACTGTGTGTCTCCTTCACTGCCCGAGACTGGATCGCTCACAGCAGCTGCGAGGTGTGGAAGCTTTTGCCCATGAGTATCTGAACCAAGCACTGCCCATGATCTTCACTTGAGAATTTTTATTTTAAAGTTTTGTTTAATGCAATGCTTAGCTGTGATTTATCAAGATTTTCACTGTCAATGGTGGGACATGCTCCCTACCCTCTTGTTGTAATGCTCTGTTGCTGACTAATTATTATGGAGTCTATTGCAGTGGTGTTCGAAGTCCATGTTTTTGATCTGTACCTCTGTGTACTAGATGCTGGAGGGACTCTTCAATGGGCACTGTCCCAGCCCTGGGAAGCATTAAGACTGCTTTAGTAGTGGTCTGCAGTGGCCATTTTCCAGAAAAATCATGCAGCTTTGCAAAAATGTTAATGTCTCTCCAAAGCAGATGAAATACAAACCCCTTACCTCATCATAGAGTAATATTGTATGAGAAGGGATTTGGCTAAGAGCACTGGATAGTGTTTCCTCGCCTTGACTCTGGGACATGTTTGCTGCCTAACTTGCGTTCTTCCCTTCTTTTTCACCAAGAATCTCATTCTCAGTTCTGGCTTTGTTTCCTCTAGAGAGATATTTCCATACTTGGTTGTAGTGATTGGCCTAGAGAACGTGTTGGTTCTCACCAAGTCAGTCGTCTCTACGCCCGTTGACCTGGAAGTGAAGCTACGCATTGCCCAAGGTACGCAGCCTGCTTGGGAAAAGTGTTGAGAGAGAAAATAAGGGTAACCCAAGGACTAGGAGGTGGGGAATGATCTTAATTCTGGTCTGTGAAGGAACCAAGGGCTGTGGGTGATGAATGGGAATTGGGAATTGTATTCTATTAGTCTTTTTGTTCTGTTTTTGTTAATTCCAAGAACTAATATAAGCCTGTAATTGTGGGCACTGCTTTTTAAGATTGTTGACCGAAGCATTGGCTAAAGAAGTTTAAAAAAGTGTTAGTAATGGAGAAGTTTATCTCCTGGTATAGATATTCAGCACCTTGTCCTCGTGTCATGAGTACTGTATGTGCAGTCCACAAGTCATGAAGTCCTGCTAAGTCTCTGGCAAAATTACCTTCTCTATTATAGATACACTCTGCACCTGCATAAAATTTGAGTATGGTCAAACCGTGGATAAATGTAGCTTATAAACATAAAAATATTTCTAGACATCAGGGAAGAGAGATTCTGGAGTGATGCCCAGAAAAATCTACCTAGTTTTAAAATTATGAGTGGTTTATATCCTAGGTTAAAAACAGGACTCAAAAACTCAATGGTCCTCTACACTACTGAATCCCTGTATTGCCTTGTGCAGTGGCCTCAGAGTGCTGAAATCAGGACAGTTTGTGAGCTGAGAGAGTCATCCTGAGCTCCCTTTGTAGTTAATAATCCAGCTAACAAAGACATTGGTAGTCTGATTATCTGACTTGGGTATTCAAAATAGGTCAGACGAATTTTAGCCTGAAAGTGCCATTTTTGCCTGTTGTCTACAGATGCTAATTTTAAAGAAGGGAAATCCAGTTCCTTTTTGCTGTGCTCCCATCTGTCCACTAGTGAACAGTCTCCTTTTACCTGTCTTTGCATGTTCCTTCTCCAGGCTTGAGCAATGAGAGCTGGTCGATTATGAAGAATATGGCGACAGAGCTTGGGATCATCTTGATTGGGTATTTCACCCTTGTCCCAGCCATCCAGGTGAGTACGGGTGATCAGTTTGAATTTGCAGGACAGAGGCTTGTAGGCACTGCAAGAATGCAGGGAACAATATTCTCCTCCCCTCTCTGGCTGACTGGGATAAGAGTCCGTTAGTGGGAAATAGATACATCTGTAGAATGTGGATCTCTCCAGGAGGAGCCGTAGCAGGGGCTCCCATGACAGAACTTAATGCTGCCCTGTGCCTTTGCTGCAGGGATGCCTTTATTCCAACCAAAAAGTGCCTTTCTGTGAGCTGGCTACTCCATCTTCTAAGTGGATGGAAGGAAAAACCAAAACCCTACTGCAGAATATCTGCTTCGAGAATTAGGGTGGACAGTCTGTTTGGGGCTCTTTCACCAGATTGACAAATCTGTAGGTTTTTACAGCCACAGATACCATTGTCTCTGTTTCATGGGTGGGTAAACTGAAACCTCGAGGTAGAACGATCTGTCAGGGGTCATGCTGTTGGGTCTGCGTTGCACTGAAAATAGGATCGCGGTCTCCTGCCTCATGGTGTGTTAATTTCTCTGCTGCACAGTCCCCTTTTCAGGACCATGCTTGCTGAGTTGTATCAGGAAGCTGACACCATTTGATTTCTGATCCTTGACCGAGCAGGGCTTGTTCCTGGTGAGCTACATGAGCAGAAGCACTGCCTAGACAAATCCTCATTGCTAGTTCCATAGCAGCTCTGCAGCCAGGCTTCGGGCAGGCGTCAGCCTGTTGTCTCTGGAAATTTCTAGCAGGGGCAGTCAGCAAGCGAAGGCGGGAGCAACCCAGCATCTGCATAGTCGGAGGCTACTCTGCACCCTCGCTAGGTGCTCGCTGGCCACCGTGACCTGCATGAAGAGGGGCGGGTTGTGTATAGCCTTGCTTTAACACCAGTAGAGACTGCACGTGATAATCTAAGAATGATAATCTAAGAAGTTAAACATTCAGGTTGGACTGGAGCATTGCAGGCTGAACTCGGCAGTTCCTGAGCTTCTCTCTCAGTATCCAAGAGGACAGCAAGAGAGGAGCTGTAGTAGAATTCCCCAGGCGACAGCTGCCTGCCTATTGTGGCCTAATTTTTTTATTTGAAGCTGATTGCAGAGATTGTTCAGCTCAAACACTGGCACGATCCATCCTTTGGGTCTAAATTGGGTTCATTCATATGGTACGTTAGCACCTTTTGGCCTCTGTTTCATTGCTGCACAGCTGGACCTCAGAAAGTGAAGCTTGACAGTATCTGTGAAGCGAGCGCAGTGCCAGCAGCCCTGTCGTGGGGATGCCGCTGGGTCGGTTCACTTGCTGTTTGCACTCTGCTACAGAGAAGCTTGCAGGGTGCCCTGACTACAGGAGATAAAGGAGTCTGATAAAAGGGACGGGGCAGAGCCGTATAAAAGTGACACCATGCCCGCACCCCCACGTTATGTCTTTTTTAAATTACTCCTGTTTATTACAGCGTTTTGACATACGTGATGACATCCACTCCTTGCTCTCTGTGTGATCCTGTCTTTCCTTGGATGCTTGCACTCTCCAGAGGAAGAATCTCGCAGGGATGCAGTCTGTTAGCGACTGCCAGCTGCTCTGCTGCAGCCTGCTGTACGCCCCTTATCTTTGTCCCTGAGAGTGAAGGACACTGTACAGATAAAGTGCTGTTCTCGTGTTGCAGAGTCCAAGGAATCCGGCAGAAGGAGAGCCAGGCTGCGTAAATCTGGTGGGGACCTTTGCTCCAGCCTGTCAGAGGGAGCAGTGCAGTGCTGGGGCCGTTCAGGTGCTGCCTGGTGCAGGGAGTAACAGAAGAGGGAAGCATTTCTTAGCTGAAGGATCTCACCTGCCCCGAGGACTGTAATGGGTCGTCTTGTTTTTCTCAGTTACTCCTTGGCAGTGTAGGTCATTTAGCAGAAGGGAATTTTTCTACATTTTTGTGGCTCTCCTTGTCCTAAAATAGAGTTTGGCTTCAGATGAGAATTCTGCATTCACTTTAAATCCCTTGTAATTGTGAGAAGCAGTGAAATCCTCTTGCCTTGCATTGCAGGTGGGTAGAGACCCCTGTTCTCCTGGCACAGCGTCCCTGTGGATGGTCCTGGGATGCTGCAGGGGTGCGTGCTGAGCATTCCTCCTCCGTTTTTCATCTCTTATCCCCTACCTTCTACTGAAGGTCACACACTGATAGCCCGATCCTGTACCTACTGAAATCAGTTTGGGTTTTGCCACAGGGTGTGCAAAGATAAGAAATATATAAGAAGATTTTAGATTTCTAGGGCTAGCGGCTTCAGATGTCGCTGAAGATATTAACAGAATTAATCTCTTTCTGTGCAGAGCCTGCCATTTGTGGAGCCTGTGTTTGCTGAGATCTGGTGAAATCCAGATAGATACTGCTTTCCTTCTGGTTTTCTCCTTGAAAGAGGAGCTTGTGTTGTGTTTTCATCCCTCTGCTTCCAAAACCTCCTGCCAGATGTTGGGGAAGGGGTTAAAGAGAAAAACCTGATCAGAACCTGTTTCTGTGCGCTGCTGTCGCTGGGAGGTTTGGGGAGGGGCAGCTGACCTGCTGGGTTATCTCGTTTCATATCACGCTGATTTTTAAATAACAAGCGGTTGATTGCTTAAGTTTCGAGAACAGTTTGGACAGGATGAGAAGGCTTCAAGGTTTGTTTAGAGGTTTTGGATAGCCTTTTACGCTATCTCTTTTCATTTCCCTGGGCTGATGGTGGTCTCCAGCCTCATGCAAGAAGCTGGGGCAGACGTAGGAAGAAGAGGGACAAAAGAAATGGATCCCTACGGCCTCTCTCCTTCCGTGCAGGAGGATGTGTCCTGGCTTGGTCTGCAGGTAGTGAGCGTGTCACCACGCCAGCAGGCAGGCAGTGAATGGCAGCGGGCGTTTGCCAGCTCTGTTCTGCAAGTGAGGGCGAGAGTCTTTAATCTGTTGTTTAGCCTAAGGTTTTTACTCCTGCTTACTTTCAACTTTCTTGATCTCTCCCTATTTTCCAGATCCTTTTTGGGTCCTAACAGGTCCTGGCAGAAATTTGTACCTCCAAGGGAAACAAAACGCCTCTCAAAAATATTTTAGTTCTGTGTTGCTCTGAAGGTTTGAATGTAGTGGGGGAGAGGGGACGGCACTTAGCACTCATGGGGATAAGGGTGAGACCGTGCATTTGTTTTATAGGGATGATCTGGGAGCTGACAGCATTTCTGCTGCTGGGCAGAATCTTTTAATCCTTATTTCTGCAACGGCACCTCCTGGAAAAAGTGGAGCATTACAGCAAGTTTAGGAAACTGGCTTTTGCAATATACTTGGTGTCTAGAGACCTCCGAGAGCAGATATGGGACTTGTCTTCCAGGGACATAGGAATTAAATTTGCCCATCAAATATACATTAGCCAGAAGTGTGATTTAAGCAGAAATGGTTTAGCTGGGGCCCTGGAGAATGGCTACAAACAAGTCCACAGACGTACAGTGACATCAGTGGTCTGTCTTTGGTTGGAGGGTGATTGATCCAGTTCCTGAACAACCTGCGTTCCTGGAGGAATTTTAAATCAGGGCTGAGGTTTATCGGTAGAGTGCAGGAAACCGTGACCATTGGAGGCTGTTTGGCCTTGTGATTTGAACGCATGGGCAGGGAGGCAGAGAGCAATGGCTGCAGCCTTGCCACGGCTTTGTGACCTGGGAGAACATCCTCTGCCGGTTTTTCCTTCAGTGCTTTGATGTTTTATGGTTAAGAAGAACAAAGAACGCAAACCTGAATAAATACACTCTTGAGTTCTCACATGGACTTTTTTAGCACTAAACTCTCAACTATTACAAAATACCAATAATAGGATTTGTCAGTAAAAAAGACTCAGGCCTGCGCTCTGGGCAAGAGTTTGCTGACTTTCCCTTTTTCTGAAGTTGAAACATTTACCGTTGTCTCCGCATAGCTAATCAGTGTGTTCTGTTTGCAGGAGTTCTGCCTCTTCGCTGTGGTCGGCCTGGTGTCTGACTTCTTTCTGCAGATGTTTTTCTTCACTACTGTGCTGTCCATTGACATTCGCCGTATGGAGGTAAGGAAGGGCCAAGAACACGGTGTTTTGCCTTGAGTCTTCCTTCTCTGCTATTGTGGAAGGATTAAAGGAAGCACACCCTGTGATTTTCACTCTCTAAACAAAAAAGACCAAGCTGTAAAAATTCCAGAGCAATACTTGCTCAGTTACACATATGCAGGAATTGGGAACAGAGTGCTTGAAGGAACAAGATGCCCTCATATATATAAACATGCAGATTTGGGGTAAATGGGCTGGAAGGAGACACGGTCACAAAGAGATGACCATGGCCGAGCAAAGAAAAGAGTGTGCTAGAGAGAAAGTCAGGACAGATCAACTCGAGGGTGAAGGCTGGAACTCAGACGTAGGCATGTATCAAAGGTAGCTGATGTGCACACATTTCTCTCGAAGGACCTCATCACCACGGCTCTCACACGTTTACTTTTCTCTTGGCAGCTTGCTGATCTGAACAAACGGTTGCCAGCGGAAGCCTGCATGCCCCCGGCGAAGCCTGTCAGCCGCTCTCAGCGCTACGAACGCCAGCCAGCTATGCGACCTGCCACCCCCCACACCATCACCCTGCAGCCATCGTCTTTCAGGAACCTGCGCCTGCCAAAGAGGCTGCGGGTGATCTACTTCTTCGCCAGGACCCGGCTGGCCCAGAGACTCATCATGGTATGCCATGTGGTGTTTGTTATCCGCTGCCCCTTCCTGCTGGACGCTAACCCAACCCAAACAGGCTTCTGGGCAGGGAAAAAAGCCCACCATTTTCATGCATCCTTCTTCCCCTGCAAGACTTATGCTGCCCCACGGTAAATACAGTTCAAGAAATACTTCCCTAAGAACATCGCTCTGCATGCATTAGCTCCAGGGCTCTGCTGTTTGCATGATGTTTGGGTGGAAGCGGGTAATTCTCTGATATTTGCTTTGAGACAAAAATCTGCTTTATATAAGCAGATTTTTAAGAACTGTATGAGTGGAGAGAGAAGATGTTTACAGAGCAGAAATCATATTTTGTTCTGGCAGATAATGTGGACTAAAAACATGGAGATATTTTGCTACATGACAGAGTTTTGCAGGTGTAAGTGCAGTGGTTACACCAGTTTCTGCCCCTGCTTGTCCCCCGCCCTCTATTCTGGGTGTCTGTAGCGGAAGCAGAGGAATGCGCGTGTTCCTCAGCTCTACAAACCACAGCCCAGGCTGTTACTGTCAACTAACATTGATGGCAGCTTAAGTTAAATTAATACAGCATTCTGTGAACCGTGGCTGCTGCAGTTGGTCTTGCAGAGTTCATGAACCCTGAATTAAGCCTTTCCAGACCCGTGTGAGGGTGGCAGACGTGCTGGTCACAGCCGCCAGCAAAGGAGTCTCTTTCCTGCTGTGCGTTTCTGTGGGAGAAGTGGGGTTCCCACCATCAGGTAGAGTCAGGTGGCTCACAGAAAAGCAGCGTTCAGTTTTCGTGCGTGACGTGCAACCTCTCCTGATCCTCTTAGAGGATAAGTGTCTGCCGGGAATAAGACCACAACCGAGTGCAGGGCGTACCCTTGGTTGGGACGTTGCTGATCAGCTCAGCCAGCTGACGAGGTGTTGGAGGTGGAGTGTGAAGGCCATGTGCTAAACGCCCTTGTCTCCTTGCTCATCCTGTCTAGGCTGGGACGGTGATCTGGATTGGAATCCTGGTTTACACGGATCCTGCTGGTCTCCGCACCTACCTCACGTCACAGGTCACCGAACAGAGTCCTTTGGGTGAAGCAGGTCTGCCTCCTATGCCTGTTCCTGGAGGGGTCCTACCTGCTGGGGACCCCAAGATTGACCTCTCAGTCTTCCCATCGGACCCTGTACACCTGTCAGAAAACCAGACGCAGCAGCGTGAGCAGAAGTCAGGGCTGGAGTCCCTGAACGGGCTGGAGACAAACCGGCACACTTGGGCCCAGGGACCAGAGGGCAAAGGGAACGGACAGACGGAGCTTGGAACGGAAGCAGAGGTTACCTGGGGAGCAGAGGATGAGGAGATCTGGAGGAAGCTTTCCTTCAGACACTGGCCATCCCTCTTCAGCTACTACAATATCACTCTGGCCAAAAGGCAAGTGGGCTGGCATTGAGTGCCACAGGCACTTTGAATTGTGGAACTGACCCCGAGTGTTCTTCTTTCTTCCATCCTTTGTCCTTCTAAGTAAGATAATTTGTGTTCCACGTGGCTTACTCCAGATGTGTCTTCAGGAGGAGACTATTAAACGGGCTCTCCTGTGTGGTGCAGAGGTACCAAACTCTCCAGGGCTGTTTGGCTGAGAATAAGGGTTGTGTTTCTCTCCTGTGCCCTTACTTGTTATCTGCCTTTACCCTGGAGGTGATGTTTAGAATTTTGTAAAACAGTACATGATCATCTGTAAGTGATGGGAATGGTACATGTGAGGAATAGACATGTGAGCTGAAGAAACTTCTTGGTGAGATCTTCTGGCCTGCGGTGTACGGGAAACTGGACCAGATCATTATATCCTGACTTAAATCTAAGTGATCCATTTGATCTCATCAGCAGTTTATTCCACTGTGGCTCTCCCACAGAGGTAAGGGTTAAGACCTCGGAAATATCTTTAGAGAAAAATATTTCAAAGGATGTCTTTAGTTTAGAATACCTGAAACTGCTGGAGTGAAAGTGCGTGCTGAGACCTACCTTGGCTGCTAGTGAGAAGATGGGCTGGCAACCTATTAGGATTTTTGTGTCTTTTGCGTTTGTTGTTCCTAAGCTATTCTCATCTTTCCGTTCCTTCAGATACATCAGCATCCTTCCAGCAATCCCTGTCACGCTGTACCTGAACCCACAAGAGGCCTTAGAAGTGCGGCATCCCCAGGAGGCTAACCGCTACCACCCCTTCTTATCTTCAAGCAGTGGGAAGCTGGATGCTGAAGCTCGGCCTGACCAAGCCTCATCCAAGCTGCAAGGGCACCAGGATGTCACTCTTTACAAGTAAAAGAGTCTTTGATACAGCCTTCCGACGTTTCTTAACTCCCTTGGAGACACGGGTTGCTCTTTGGCTCTTCTCCTGGCGGAAAAAAAAAGGAGGACAACAAATATTTGTAAAGCTTCAGTGCAAAATCCTGTAATGCTCAGGGCACTCCAGCTCAGCTAGCGCAGCATTAGATTAATCTCGCGTCTTTTCCGAGTTCCCTGGCAGGAGGTGGTGTGTGCAGCCTGGGTTGTTAGCAGACATTGCTGGTGGTGGCAGCTGCTTGTCGATAGATATTGATGGCTATGGACAAATGGTGTAAAAACTTGATAGATATGCAAGTGTTCACTCTAATCTGGTAACCACCGTGCAATTAGTCATGCATTTTGAAGATTAAGCTGTAATGTGTTTTAATTGAATGGCTTGGTGATGCTCAAACTGTTACTCCTAGCACCACACATGATGCATTACGGGTTTATCTGTGTTGGTAACAGGGATAGGAGTTCGTCTTTGGGAATAAACATTGTGATTTAATAATGCTTTATTGAGTGTTAGATCAAACTCTCCAGCAAGCAGGGACCTTCCTTTTCTACTGAGAAGACAGGCTTCCAGCTTGCCCCCTGAATCTTTAATTCTCCTTGGGCTCTATTGAACGCACTTTATATTATCCCAATCCCCATCTAGCGTTTTTCTTAAAGTCTTAGTTGCTATGTACTTTTCTTATTGAAAAGTCTGAATATCTTGTTGAAATGGACATTGTCCCATTAAAAAAATCCTTTCATTTTCCCAAAATCACTATAGCTTATTGGAAATTTTTCTCAGCTGAAAAATTCAGACCAGCAACATGTGCAATTCTTTCACAGTATTTTTCAAACTCTATCTGTGGACTAGTAATTGGATCTTTTATCTCACCTTCTTTTTGTCGTTGTATCCATTTGTCTCTCCTCCAGGGTGGCTGCTCTGGGTCTGGCCTCGGGCATTATCCTGGTCCTCCTGCTCTTCTGCCTGTACCGGGTGTTCTGCCCCAAGAACTACGGGCAGAACGGGCTCTCACACAGCAGGAGGAAGAGGGGGGACCTGCCCTGTGACGATTACGGGTACTCCCCACCCGAGACTGAGATCGTCCCCTTGGTTCTCAGGGGTCACCTCATGGTAGGTCGGACGGGATGCAGTCCTTAAAAGAAAGGCATTTTACTGACTTGCACCACACGTCTTCTGTTTCCTTTGTTTTATTGAAATAACAACCCTCACGAAGGACAGACCAGCTGTGCAGCCTTAGTGTAATGCAGCTGTGGAGACTAACAGCCAGGGCAAATGAATCATATACATATATATATATATATTAGCATGAAGTTTTCTGTAGGACTTTTCCGATTCTTCTTGGGACTCGCTCTGAGCTTCTTGCAATTGCTGTTACGCCCTTCTCTGTGTAGCCAGCTGTTGGCTTTTATTGGCTGGGCCAATCCAGCTTTCTTTGCTGGGATAGCTCTAGATTCCTGATGTTTAACACCTACTGGATCCTTTTTTCCTGCTTCCCAGAAGTTACTGCAGAGATTTGGACTGTTCAGTGGTGTTTCCAGTGCTAAAAGCATCCATGGGTTTGCACGGAAGTGTGCTGCTGCTCGCTCAGTTCACTCATTTTTCTTGAGGGGAAAGATGTTTCTTCCCATTCTGAGATGAAACAAAGCACTTGGGCACCCGGTCAGGTGGAGTTTGAAACACTGTGCCGTGTCTTCCAGAGAAGCTGCACCTCTGTTCCTGATCCGACCATCTCTTTGGGCCATACTTTGTCAGGGAAAGGGAACACAGATGGAGTCTGTGATTTCCAGCAGTCTAATGCACAGTGAGGACTCTGAGCAAAGATGTACTCATGTTCTCAGAGTATCCCTAGGTTGCTAAGCCAGCTGTGTAGTTTTGACCTAAAATTTATCACCTCTATAGTTCCTCAGCCACACGCAAAGTGATTGTCAGAGTCCGGAGGCCTCGGTGGTGCTACGTGCTCAGCTGTGCTTGTTCTTGCTTCCCAGGACATCGAATGCCTGGCTAGCGATGGCATGCTGCTTGTCAGCTGCTGCCTGGTGGGCCAGATCCGTGTGTGGGATGCTCAGACTGGCGACTGCCTCACCGTTATTCCCAAACCAAGGTACGCGGTGTCTGTACCAAGTCACGCAGCTGCGGGCACGTCCCTCCGCAGCCGCTGCTCAGCAGCAAGTGCAAACCCTTCTGTAAGAAACCAGCCCTCTCAGACAGTAGAGGTGGCAGAACTGACCTTTTCTTACTGTATTTTAGGTTACGAAGAGACAGCAGTGGCATTTTTGATTACCAGGAAAGCTGGGATCTCAGTCCGGATGGCAAGAATGGTCTGGACGACTCTTTTGAGAACAGTCACCAGCTCAAACGGATGCTCAGCCCTCCCCAGCCGCCACTTTTCTGTGACCAGCCAGACCTCACGTCTCTCATTGACACGAACTTCTCTGAGCAGGTGAAGGTGGCCGAGTCAGAGACGCGGCTCCGTGCTGTGGGCAGTCGCCAGAAGGAGACCGGGTACGATTTCAGCAGCCTGGTTGGTAAAGCGTATGAAGAGCACAGCACCTCCAACTGCATGAACTTCACTGGCCTCTCAGCCCCGCACGGGCACGCCAGCTTCTGTGCGGGGAGCGGCAGTCCCCGCTCCTTGGGCTGCGGGACCGAGGAGGGAGGCTGCAGCAGCCGCAGAAGGAGCTTGGGGGACGAATCTTTTACGGGATTTGACAAATCGTCACTGCTTCCTTCCTGGGGAGGAGACTTGGAGAGCTCTGTCTGGAGCCTGGACCTGCAAGGGAACCTGATTGTGGCTGGCCGGAGTAACGGGAAGCTGGAGGTGAGGAGCAAGGCTCGCTGCCAGCCCAGGCACTGGGTGAGCTGCCGCGGTGGCTCTGTGCTCAGCTGCTGCCACTGCCCGTGCCAGACACACCAGCACCAGGCACGCAGCCTCTCAGGGTGCAGGATAGGACAGATCCCAGGGCAGAAATTCCTCGTATGCACTGAAAATTGCGGCGTTTCGGCTTAATTTGATTTTAGAACAGAACAGGAATTGTGGTGTAGTGTCTGTTATCACCCTATAATCGGTTTTTAAAGTATTCGAAACAGCTTCTCCTTTGATCAGTACTTTGCTTGCTTATCTTCTTTTCTGGTTCCTGAGTGTCGAAATAATTCATTTCAAAGGAGGTTCTTAGTGTAAGGAAAAAAAATTCTTCAGTTAGTGCTAAATAATAGCAGCTCTTTAGGACTGAAGAAGCCTCAAGATTGCCATGTCATTAAGTAATGTTGCTGGTGAGTCATGAAATGAAGTGAAACGAATAGGAATTCTATGAGAATGACACGGGTTTTGAAGCAAATTTTAATCGGCAATTTAAATCTTCTCCAATGAGAAACTTTCAGAATTAGTTCAATTTTAATTTCATTTTGGGAAATCAAGTTCGAATTTTTCCTTCAAAATAAATGCAAGGGTTTTTTAAACAAACACATTTTGAAATAAAAATGTTAATGATTTTTGACCTTTTCTACCTGTGCTGCATGTGAGCAGCTCTCACTCTTCCCAGCAACGACACAGGCCACTCCATTGGTTTTCTTTGTCCTTTAAATACGGTTTTGAGCTCAGATACTTTCTTCTGAGCTGCTGCCTTGAGACACTGACTGAATTTTCC